CAGCGCGGGCGCGCCGGCGCGGCCGGCCACGCGGGCGACCTCGCTCAACTCGTCCACCAGCAGGCCGGCCGACGCAGACGCCGCTTGGAGCAGCAGCTCGACGCCTGTGAGGCCACCCGCAGCGCTGCTCGCACCATCTGCCGCGCTGGCTGCGCTGGCTGCGTCATCCAAAACATCCTGGACATCATGAAGAGGTGGAACCCCTATATCGCCTGCCGGCGCCGGGCCCACCACCTCGCACTCCCCCACGACATCGGCCGACGGCTGGGACGACGGCTCGGCCGGCGGCGCAGCGGCGGCGGCGGCGCCGCCTGCGCCGCGCTTGGCGTTGTCGGCGGCGGCGACAGCAAGCGCCAGGACGGCGGCCGCGATGCTGGCTCCCGCGCGGACCTCGGGCCTTGCCCAGGCAGAGCGCGCGGCGGCGGCCGAGGGCGGCGGGCCCGCGGCACGGCCGGCTTGCGCGACGGCCGGCGTCCTGCCGTGCGTGTGCACGACCCTTGGCTGCGGCGCCGCGGGGGCCTTGGTGGTGAGCAGAGCCTGGGTGCTCTGTGTTTGAGGGTCATCAGATGGGGCGGTGCGCGGCTGAAAGCGTGCAATGAGATGATCCGCGCAGGCTGTTGAAAGGAACCCTATCGCAACGCGAGCATGCAAGGCTGCAATTGCGACGGATGTGTCGTGGCAGCAACCGCTGGCTGTTGACGTGGGCTGGTGCATGCCGCCCGTAGCTAGGTCCCAGCTCTCACATGCATCTTGTTCCAGTAAGGGGTGCACGCGGCTGCTGGATTGCGGCCCGATGTGGCTCCAAGCAACAGCGGCGCCAGCAGCGACACCTGCAATCAGTTGTGCCGTAACGGGGGCCTGTTGTGCAGGCTGCGCTGCATTCTTCGCTTCCAAGCTCTGCGCCATTTGGCGCTGTGCGTGTGGCTTTGATGACGGCTGCTTCACTGACAGGCCTCCCCAGGCTGGGCAGCAGGTTGGCGCCGCGCATTGACGGGTTCGCCGCAAAACAGCCCCATGGCCGGTGAGGTCGCGGCTATGTACATCATGTCGCGAAATCAATGTGAGTCACGCAATGCGCACCTGAACCGCACGCTTGAAGCCTGCAAGTGTCCTAGGCGTGGCCTCTCCTATCGCAACCGCCTCCCGCCCTTGCACACGACAGCATATGGTCGTGTCGAGCGTCGAAGTCCGCGACTTGAACGCCAAGGGCTGCGCGCCACAGTGGATGTGTGTCGTGGCACGCTGCTGCATCTGGTTGGATCTGACTGGTATTCCAACCCTGACCGCACAGTCTTAAGTGATCCTTTCATACGCGGTATGCAGTGTCAGTGCACCCCCATGGCAGACCGTAACTCGTCGTCACTGGGTCAACAAACGGCCTCTTGCTGCACCACCTGCGCGCCATGCACGCGTGCCACGCATGTGCAAGTCGCGATGCCGTGCTGCTGAAGGCTCGACATGTTTTAGTTTCTTCAACATGCCTCTTCAATCCCTGCCCAACGCGATCCATTTCCTGTCCAATTTGTCAACTCTCTGGTTATGAAGGCTGCAGCCAACCAGCTGTTTGGCCAGGGCGGCAGCCCTTCCGGACCTCGACTGTGACCGACGAGCTCGATCATCAAGGCGCACTTGGCACTCTGCGCCACGCACTTTCACAACAAAACCATCAGCGCAAGGTAGAAACAGGATGACCGATGCCAGCCTACACCCGGGTGTACACATGATGAGCAAGCACCCATGCCAGGGCTATTCAGTTCTGAACAGTGTGCGCCTCTGAGAGCCGCGTCTTCAATGCACCGCAGCCCTGACACCAATACCGGGTCTGACCGTGCGGCCATGTGCCAAATGCTGACATACAGAGCGCGCACAGCACGAGCAGGCGGCATGTTACAAAGTACACGCACGGCCTCGCAGCATGTTGCCACGACGCGAATCCCATCTAAGAATCATTATTCTTGAAGTCCCTTCTTGTCATCGCTCCCTTTTCGCGCATGACACATCCGTGTCAATCTTGGCGCGTTCCTGAAAACGGCACGCCTTCCCTGCCTTATACACATAATATTAGCAGCTAGACGGACATGCGCGCTCCCAGATGTCTCCTGTTGCTATCCGTGCTGCTGTATGCCGCCCTCGCGGCCGGCGCAGCCCGAGCCGATGCAACACCGCTCACCGAGGCCGACGACGAGCCGCCGCCCCGCCCCCAGCCGCTCGTCTTCCTGCACATCCCCAAGACCGGCGGCACATCCCTCGCGCTGACGCTGCAGCGGTTCCTGGGCGAGCTCAACTGCACGCGCGACGCGCTCGGCGACGACGACCCGCAGCCGGGCAATGAGACCTGCGTCTGGGCGCACGCCTTCCCCGGCAAAGACCATGACGAGCGCTTATTCCTGGCGCGCGCGGCAGTCGGCGCCGCGGGGCGCAATGTCAAGCTCGACTACCTCATGGGCCACCTCCACTTCGGGTCCTGCATCCTGCTAAACGCCACGCTGCCGAAGCGCGCGCCCTGCGTGTACACTACCGTGCTGCGCGACCCGCTGGCACGCATCGTCAGCCACTACCGCTGGCTGATGCGCGCGGCGCCGCACGTGCTGCTCCGCCGCTGCCCTGAATGCACCACCATCGACGCGTTCGCGGCGGCGATCAACAACGGGACGATGATCACGCGGCTCTACCTCGAGAACACGCAGACGCGCGTGCTGTCTGGGGATGGTTTCTGGGCGTCGATCACCAACAACCGCCTGCGGGACGTCGCGCTACACGCCGACAGCGAGATGCTCGAGCGCGCCAAGGCGAACCTGGCGTCCGCCGCCGTCCCGTTTTTCGGGCTCACGGAGGACATGCCGGCCTACGTCCGGCGGCTGCGCGCCTTCCTCGGCTTGCCGCCCGCGGCCGGGGCCGAGGCCGCGGCGCGGATGGTGGTCGCGAACGCGGCGCCGGACGCGCTGAGCGCGGAGGCGCTGTCCCCCAGGACGCGCGAGCTGCTGCTGGAGAGCCAGGCGCAGGACGTGCATCTCTATGAGTTTGCAAAGCGCCTGCTCGCGGCGCGCGGGGGCGCTGCGTAGCTAGCCGGCGGTGCATCCGCAGCCATCGTGACGTCACGCACTCCAGCAGGGGCAAGGGCCCACATGATGATTCCCGGCTGCGCAGCGCTTGATCATGCTGGGTTGTGGGACCAATCAATCATTTTGGGGGAAACGCTACGCTTGCCAAGCAAACTCGAACAATGGCACATGCAATCACCAATGCAAACAACATCCGGCAATGGCATCTTGGTACGCTTTGCATCACACGCCCCCCTGGACTTGGTGCGCAGGGCGCAGCAGCGGCTCGCCTTGCTCTTGCAAATTGGATGCACTTTCCTTCCACTTTCCTGCACGCCTGCAGGGCCTCGCATGTGTGCCGTGCTGTCAGCAAGCAATTGTTGAGCAGCTGCTGCCATGCATGCCACTTATGGGCGGCCTTCGCCATGGCCCATGCGTGCGCTTCCTCTTGCACACTTCATGCCCGCCACACACGACAACTGCGTACTTGCAACAGCTGCGCTAGCAAAGCAGGGTCACATCACATACACAATAGGCAACCATCGCCAGCAGCCAGCCTGAAGCCAAAGTTTGGCCACCCAGCCAGCTACTGCCCCTCCTGAGCTGAGAAGCGGAGCTGCCGCTGTGCATCTGCCTCATGCCATGCTCTGCCCGGCTGCGATCAGGCCCCCGCACGCCTGGCATCCCACACCACCGCAAGACGGGACAGCGCGCGTTACACTGCCAGCCCCAGCCGCTGCCGCTCCGCCGTCAGCACGCGCTTTATGCGCTCGAGCGCGCCCGTCTCCCCTGCCTTGGCGGCGCAGCTGCTGGGAGTGTACGGCGGCGGCACGGTAACCACGTCCATCACGAGGATCGTCCGCCCCTGCCACACGCAGGGCAGCGTCTTGGAGAGGGCGTCAAAGATGGACTGCGCCTCCTTGGTCACGCCGACGCCGACCTTGGCCAGATCTGCCTCGGCTTGCTGCAGGGGCAGAGGGCAGTTCGTGGGGACAGATGTATGAGAAGGGGCCTGGGCCTGGCGTGGCACGCAGGTCAAGATTATGCGCCAGGGAGTCCCATACGTCCTTTCTGGGTAAACGTGGTTGCACGGACGCAGGGGGAAGGATGCGGATGCTAGGTCCTAGAAACGACAGGGAAAGCCAACATCTTTACCCAACATCGCGTGCATCTGCAGCAGCAGCAGGCTGCGCAGCAAGCAGCCCTGCGGGCAAGCGGAGAGGTCAGCGCGGCACTTAAGTGTGCGACTCCTCACCCGCAGGGCCTTCTCCTCACGCTGCCGGGCGCGCTCCCTGTCAACGCTTGGCAGGAACAGGTCTGGCGGGCTGGCGGGCGGCTCTGCCAGCAACAGCTCCTGGGAGGATGATGTGTGCAAACATGATCGCGCGCATGTGTGTGTGCTGGGTGCGTGTGTGTGTGTGTGTGTGTGTGTGTGTGTGTGTGTGTGTGTTCAGGGTTGGGTTGCTGATCGCCTTGGAAATCGGATGTCAGTCTGCGGTTTTGCCAATGGCTCCT